CAACAGAGAGAAAAATGAAACATAAAGAAGAAAAACACATTGGGAGATCGTAAGGCAAGACAAAGATCAAAGAGCTTTTATAAAACAAAGGGAGAAGAAAAAGGGGAAAAGATGGCACGGGAAAAAGTAAGATTTTGAATCAAAATTTTAAAACACATATACCAAAAGATCAAAATGATGTTGACAAAAAATAGTAGAGACCAAAAGAGTGACAATCATATTACTTGTTTATTGAAAATGAGGCAAATTAGATTATGAGAAAAGCAATATGGAAAAATCCAGTAAAGAGGAATAGATGAAATTGGAATTTAATTGGAATAGGCACTGAAAATGCAATGTACTTGGATTAAAGGAGACAAAAAAAAAGCATTTAAATTGTTTTGGTCAAGAGAATAAGCAAAATCAAAACCCCAAATAAAAAGAGCTTATTCACGGTAATTTTTGTACAGATTCATCAAAATTAAGGAGGCCAAAGTTATTTTTGATCATCATTGCCACACACGAAAGGAAGAAAAAAAAAAGGAGAAGAACATTTGGCCTATTCTGGTTAAAGAAGATACAGAAAACCAAAATCCAAACAGGAAAGAGTTATTGACAGTAATTTTTACATAGATTACATGGAATTAAAAAGACCAAAACTGATTATAATGATTATTGCCACTTACAAAAGCTAAATAAAGATAGAATATGCTAGGCAAAAATAACTGCATTCATATATATGTGACTATAAAACAGATGAAAACAGATTCAATATATCATTACTATATGCTAACAAAACAAAGGAGAACGCAATCATAACAACAAAAACAAGTTTTTTCCAGCATCATAACAAACAGTAAAAACTAATAGCAGTACAGGAAACTAATATATCCAATAACAACAAATATTAAGGAAATATAAGGAAGAATCATGAACAATACCTGCAACGGTGTTAAAATTGCCTTAAACAAAGAATATTAGCTACCCAAATCCATGCAGAAGAGACAAAATTTAAAAGATTGAACAATAAGTAGGTGAAGATAAAATGGCACAGCTAAAATCTGAAAAAGGTTATGCCAAGTAAAAAAAAAAAAGGAAAAAAGAGCATATTTAGACAATTATAATAAAAAAACTACGAACAAAATCAGAATGCAAAAACAGAATCCACATGACTAAGAAGTACATTTATAACAATTTCTAAATATGTCAAATAGCAGTAAGCAGATATAAAACAATGGTAATAAGCATTGCCATACAGTAAAATCAATTAAACATAAGAAATATGTTATGTAAAAATAAACCACTATATATACTATTGTGAAATAAATTAAGAACACAAAAGAAGACAACTATAGATCATTAAGATTTATTGACAATGAATAGGAATTAATTTTTCTAAGCACTATAGGAAATGACACATAGCGGTAACAATAGAACAAACCAGCACACTCAACATTAACAAAGAACAATTAAAATATCCAGACAGAAATCATTAATAGTACCTGAGATATTGTGAGCACTGCTCTAAGTAACCAATGCCAGCCAACCAAAGAGGAAGGAAAAAGACAGAACTAAGACAATGGAGCAGTAAATAGGGCAAGGTAAAGAAAGGTAGTAAGTGATCAACACTGAGGTAGAAAGGGAACGATGTCAGGTGTAAGAGAAGAAAGGACAGACAATAAATTAACCTACGACAATAGTATTTTACACATATATAAAGACTAACATAACCAATGAGAACATCACATATAATACACTTAAGTCGGTGGACAAATACTGAGGAAGGAAAAAAAAGATAAAAAATAATGCAAGTAACAAAAGTATGAGAAAAAAAATTAAGGAAAAAATCAAAGCATAATCAACCGAGAGAAACATCGACAATATGCTACATATTCCGGACAGTAAAAGAGAAAAAAATTCCTAGCTCATTTAATGCCTCTACAATGAAAAAGCCACAGATCATCAAGACAAAAGTACAAAGCAAGATCATAGATATCACAAATCAGCACTACAGATTAGCTAACCATTAAATGTAGAAAAAAATTGATTTAGGAACAACTCCCAAATCAAAAGAGTAGATCAGAAACAACAGAGGTTCGGCAAAAAGAAGGGGAAAAAAGGCACATAACACAAAATATGCATTTCAAAACATTCACTCTCGTAAGAACACAGAAAAAACCCATGTAAATTCCAGATCAATGGCCTAAGAGAATAGGGGACAGAAGAAAGGAAGGGGGTTGGGAAACCACTGGAAACTTACAATAACCCATAACAAAATTCCTAATGACAACAACACAAAATGATCAGCAAAGAATCAAAGGAACAAAGAAACAAAAAATGGCTGAAGAGAAGAAGGGAAAGAAGAAAGGGAACGGAAAAAAAATTGCCAAAAACCCACAATAATCCGTAGCAAAATTCCTAATGACAAGAACATTTATCAGCAAAGAATCAAAGGAACAAAGAAACAAAAAATTAAGAACATATGGACAAAGAATATTAAGCATGCCTGAAATGCAGAAAACTAAAAAAAAAAAAAAAATTAAAGCACACCACTAACAGTTTTATTAAAAAAAAAGAAAAAAAAACTTACTAAAAGTTGAGCATAAATAATGGAGGCGAAGAAGACAACCCAGATCTTCACGTGTACTTTGGACCTCAAGCTAAATGAAGCTCGGCAAATCGTGAATCACACTATACCAAAAGCATAGACACATAGAAAAACACAATTTTTTTTTAAGGTTATGTACTTATTTTGCTAAGTGGAGAGAAAGAGTAGTGAAAATTTTCTACGGTTTGCCAAACAAAGAATTCAGAGAAGAAAAAAATTTGTTTTTCCAAGGAAAGCAAAAACACGAAGAACGAAATCATAGAAATGAAATGGAAAAAATGAAAGAAAATTAAAACCTTGTCATTGAGCCACATCCGATCATGATCAAAGAAGGGCTGACGGCGACGGTAGTGGTGGTGCAGAGGTAAGGATCGGGGACGACGGAGGAGAGAAAATCGCTCGAGAGGCAGAAAGAGAAAAAAAAATAGAGAGAAAAACCCAGAGCTTCTACAATGAACCTTTGATTTAAGCCAAACAATCAAAGAAAGCGTAAGAGGGAGAAGAAAAGCCCAGAAGCCTCAGTAAGCATTTCCGTAAGAATCCACGACTGACAAAAAAGAGAGATGAAGCATAAAAGCTTCAGTGGCAAAAAAAATGGAACAAAATGTGAGAGAAGAAAAAGCTCCAGGGAAAGGAATAGCAAAGGTCAGACATTGGAAACGGTAAAAGAAAGAGGACCAAACTAAATGACCAAAATGCCCAGAAAAAAACATAGAAGCAAAATAAAATCGAGGGTAAAACAGTAAAAACACTCAAAATGACACAGACAGTATAAAAAAGGCTTGAACAGAAAGAAACAGGGACAAAATTGGAAAGTCATTGTACTTAGTATAGTAACTTTCTTGCCTCCTTTGGTAATAGGTATAATGTGTATAATAGTTGTTATGGCTCAAGAAACAAAAACAAGTCAATACTCCGTTTATTTTATCGATTTGAGTTTTTAATTTTAATTTAATTATCGTTAAAAATTCTCATAAAATGTTACATTTAATTTTTTTATTACAATTAAAAATTCTTACATAAAATCATATTTTAACTCAAATCGATAAAATAAACGAGACCTAAATTTAATTTGCAAAACATGTAAAAATTGTCCTTGTGTACAAGCAAGGAGCAGCCAAGTGTGTTAACTGATCTGTCTAAGGAGTGTGTGTTGCATCGTAATTGGCACACAAACAAAACGAACTCTGTACGTGGGGACACATCTGCTACTTGTTTATTCACTCAATCAGCTTAATTTAATAATATTTTAGTAGTTTGTGGCGCCTGGTGGGAAAATTGGTTTTCAGTTTTGAAGAACAAAAAATGTGCCTTTTTAAAGTAAAGTTATGTCTTTCGATGTAAAATTGGGACAATGGAATGGAATTTATTGAAGCAGAAATAGGAGATTAGTGGGAGACTGGGAGTAATATATAATGTACTTTTGTTTTTATTTTTGTTTTTGTTTTTGTTTTTTTTTTCCCTTTCTTCCCATTTTGAGGGTCTCTCCCGTCTTTCATCGGTTCAGTGTTTAGTGCGTTTGCTTTTGGAAAATGTACAAAAAAATAACATAGATTCCGGTCAGCTTTTACACCCTTTTCTCTTTTCGGAGAGCTCAGAATAAAGATGGTTTTAAGGTCCCCACAAATATAAAATGCATCATCTAACGAAATTTTTTCCCACTATCTTGTTTCTTTCTATAATGTTGCATTTAATTACCATACAAAAGTAAACAATATTTTGTCTTATACCTTGTTTTTTTAACTTAACAGCAATTAGCCCACATTTTAGCTCCCTAACTAGTCTTTATTTGTGTTTATGTATATTTAAAAATTGTTTGTTCTTCCGAAGAGTGACGCGTTTTAAACTTAATTATCAATAGACCCCAAAAAGAGAATAAGTTAACTTACCAAAGAGGAATTTCTTATTAGAAAGTAAGATAAATATATAATAAAAAGTATAAGATTGCGTAAAAAAAGACAAACAAGTAGGTTGCACAGAATCATTACGTTTTCTATCACTTGCGAATTGGAACTTTCCTGTCAGGGCATAAGTAGGCTGACTCTATCTTAATGCTCAAGAAAAGCAGTTTATTTTTTCATTTTTTTCACTCTCAAATTATATTTGTTTCATAACTCAAATTAAGAATTTAAGTTGTGTATGTAAAAAAAAAAAAAAAAAAAAAAAAAACACTATAGTAAAAAAATTATATTTAAAATTTTATGAGAAAAATAATAAACGAATTGTGAAAAAAAAGACGTGAAAACCCAAAGAAAGTATCATCTTTCAGAAAAGCTATAGTACAAAAAATGAATCTCTATGAGAATAATGAACGGTAACGATAAAGCATAATCCTTTTTTTTATTGTAATAAAGTGCATATGACCAAGAGGAATTAAATTTGTGTCCATAGATCAACATATTCTACAACATCATTATTCAATTTTTTCCTCCATAATTAATCACATAATTCTTGATGGCTATTACACATACCATGGCCCAACAAAAAGCCATGCCTTCAACAATTACTTCCCATCTCTCCACATTATGATGTAATGTGGACCACACAACAAGTGATATAGCTTCCACTCATCACTGGAGAGCTCAAGGACCACCACTTAGTTGCCATATAACTACCCACCATTGCTACCAAGACAGTAAATACAGAGTCCTAAATCCTCACAAAAAGAATACAAAAATCGTGGTAGTAACTATAAGAATTTCAGTAATTGTATAAAATGAAGAGACTGAAGAATTACATGTATGAAATACCAATATATCTTTTTTTTTTTTTTTTTTTTTTCTCTCTTTGCTTCCAACCGTAATAACTATTAACCAATAACTGCCTCTCCCGTAAAAGCAGCCGAGTCCTGCCCTTGCCCAGTCCAGAATCCTCGTGCTCACCAATTTAGCTGACACAAAAATGAATATTTGGGGAAAGAAAAAAGAAAGCCCATATTAATGTTACTGCTTTAAAATTTTTACCCATCACCAATTGGGCAATTTCCTTTATTTTAATTTACCACTTGTAGCCTCTCTCTTCTTGCTCCTTAAACCTCCTCAATACGCCGTCAATGGCAATATCAAATGCGTCTTTCATATTCTTTAATCCTTCTCGGGGTTCTGCGTACACTAATCTTGGAATATACTCGACAACTTTGTCCCTCATTTTTTTCACCTCCTCTTGACTGTAACTTTCTAGAACTTTTCTCACCGAGGTGCCATTTTTCACCGTGTGACGGTTTATGTAAACCGAGTAACTATCCGGCTCGACCGGCAAAAACCACTCGTACTGGTAGTAGGCTGTCCGCTTCCAGAAAAAAACAGGGATCGAACCGGCGATCATGCAGTCAAAAATTGACCTGCGGGTGAAGCTATCGCCCCTCGGCTGCAAGCAGAAGTTCGAGTCAAGAAACCCTTCGAGAATCGCCGTAGTGCCGTTGGAGCACCGAGTCCCGGCGCAGTCCACGACTCGGCACGCGTCCGACTCGTTCCGGCAGTGACTCAGCAGGAGACCGCGGAAGTCGTTCCTGAAGGCGCCACGTGTCGCTCCGGCGAAGCTGAAGAGAGTCGAACGGCGGCGGTTGCGCACGAAGCTCTGCCACTCGGCGACGTCGGATTCCGATCGGGGGTGGAATCCGGTGGGGTAGGGCACACCGACGTCGAAGTAGTCCCACGGGTTCCGCTCGATCAGGAGACGCGTGATGTTCCTCATCCCGGGAATGTAGATGCAGCTGGACCCCCAGTCCCTGTCCTTGGACCGCCGGAAGTCCCACGTGATACGCCCCATCGAGATGAAGTGATCCCAGCCGCCCGATCTCCGATAGTATGGCTGATCCTTGAGCCACGTTAGCATCATCTCGCAGTGGCGATCACGGTCCTTGGCGGTGCTGGTTTTCGACCAAAGATATTTCCCCACCGCGAGTCCAGCGTAGAAGGGGATGTAGAACGCCGCAGCGGATTCTGGCTCGGCGACCCGGCATTTGTGGTTGATAATCCGATTGTGGAAAATCACTTCCGTCACGAACTGATCCGTCCAGTGCCACGCCGGGATCAGATTATCGGGAACAACTCCGGCGAGCGCGGCTGCTCTCTGCCCGAACCCGTCGTTCGACAAGGCGTCGCACCGCGAGCTCCAGGGGTTCAAGTTGTCGCAATTGTCGAGAATTTCACGGTTGAAAGTTTGGGGAAGGTCGTAAATGAATACTCGACCGAAAGGGCATTGGTCCTCCTCATCCTCCACGGCGGCGGGGGCGGGGACCGAGACGGCGGCGTAGGGAGACGAGAAGTGGGGGCGAGAGAAGGGGAGGGAGCGGAGGTGGTAGAGGAGGATTATTTGGAGAGTGACGACCGCGACGATGAGGCATGTTCGAGGATGGTTAGTGGGTTTGAGCGATAACGTTTCCGTGGGTTTAGGCTTCTTGTTGTTGTGAGTCTCAGGAGAGGGAAGGTTCGAAAGGGAAAGCATGGGAAGGGGAGGGAGAGAGAGAGAGGTGACGAGGAAACTGTGGAGCTTTTTCCGGCGGACTTTGACCGGAAAATGGTGGGTTTTTTCGGCGGTGATGATTACTGTTTCGTACTTGGTGAATTGTGTAGAGAGAGGTGGCGAGAAAATTGTGGAGCTTTTTATCCGGCGAAATTTGACCGGTTAATGGTGGGTTTTTTCGGCGGTGATGATGACTCTTTCTTACTTGGTGAATTGCGGAGAGAGAGAGAGAGAGGGAGGTGGTGTTTGTTTGGGCTTCAAAAGAGAATACTTGGGGGAGTTTCGAGAGCTCTGAGATGATGAGGATGTAAAAGAGCAGTGAGGGCACGGCACGTGTGCTTAATCACCGGCTGCCAGGAGACACCGACAGAGTTATCAAAGTACTTTAATAACAGGCACGTGGCGGTTCTTTTCTTAGGGGGTTATAGTCACCTTTTCCACTGCACTTAAAATTATGGTACTTATTAGGAATTTTGTTTTTTCTTTTCCTATTTCTTTTCTTTTTCTCACCAACATTTTACTTCAGTTGTCGTTTATGTTCTTAACATCGATTATTTTTTGTCAAAGAATTACAGCTTTAGCGTATTTTTGGAGATTAATGAACATGATTATGTCAATTTACCACTTCATCCCTCTGTCAACCTTTTCACCCTTTGCAAACTAAAGGTACAAAATTCTTTTTAAATGTCTCTTTAAATTTTTCTTTTCAAACTTACAAACTAAACGAACGACACGTTAAACGCGCTAGAAAAAATGCCAACCTACGACGGCTTTAAAAACTTGGTCGTTTGACGAAAAGCCGCCGCATCTATACGTTGATCATAATTCATAGGCCTCAATAGAAGGTTCTTTACACCTGTCGTTAAGCTGGTGTCAAAACTCAGTACGACGCCGTTGGATCTTGAATACAATGCATTGGACGGTTCTCGACGGACGTCATCAAAATTTATCACTTTTTTTTGGCTCTTCACCTGTAGGCGTAGCTGTACGGATAGAGAGAGGGTAGCTATTCTAGGTGAGGATAAAAAAAATTCAAAACCGCTTGCGAATTTTGTGGTCCTGAGTTCCAAGGATGTAAAGCAAGGACTACAATATTATTTCACTCGTTGTGATTTGGGGGCTGTGGTTGCCGACAAACTGGCCTTTGTAGTTTCCTGAGGTTATACTAAAGTGAATCCCTGCCGTTGCCCAAATTTTGAGACCTTCATCTCTAACCCTGCACTTGGCAAGTTTCTGATGATGGAGGGTTAAAGTGGGTCCCAAGGGGACAATATCCTGAGATTGATTGAATGGACGCCACACGATTGACTGTGTTACTGATTGATTTTAGTTGAGGCCCAGTCTTATTGCCTTATCTTTACTTGTCTATGAAAGAATAAGAGATAAAGGCCTCGTTCATTTTGTCAATTTGAGTTTAGAATTTAAATTTTATTACAGTAAAAAGTTCTAAAAAATAGTCACATTTAATTTTTTTACTACAGTAAAAAACTCTCACACAAAATCACATATCAACTGAAATTACAAACTCGAATCAGCAAAGTGAACGGGGTAAAAGTGGTTGTTTTTTTAAAATAAAACTCAGAAAAAATTTGAATTGACTTTATTCAAGTTCATATTTTTTTTGTAAAATTTGAGTTTGAATTTGAATTTGAACTCGAGTTTGAGGCTAAACTCGAGTTTAAGTTTTCTCTTCAACTTGAGTTCAAAAACTCAAACTCAAATTAATGAACAGTATTTTTTCTATTCTTAAAAATGTCATAATTTTTTCGTTTTAATTCTGATTGAGATGATTTTTTTTCTATGTATTCATAACGAAAAGACGAATAAAACTCCACCCACATACCCTATTAAAATTTTTCATCACCATTAAGTTTTTATTAAAATACTATTTAAATATAAATTTAAGTTTTGACCCACCTAAACACAAACTCAAAAAGATTCTTAATTCAAATCATAACTCAAATGTGCACATCTAAACATAAACTCATGTTACAACATCAACTCAAGTTATAACTTAAACTCAACTCAAAATCATTACTCAAATCACCTTAACTAAAAAATGCAAAAGAACAATCCCAAAGATATCTAGATGATGCTCATTTAAAATGGGCAGAAAAGTGTTGATCTAAAGCCTTAAAGTCTGATTCATTTCATTAATTTGAGTTTTTAGTTTTAATTTTGTTATCGTTAAAGGTCTCATTTATTTCACTGATTTGAGTTTAAAATTTGAGTTTTGATACAATAAAAATTTCTTAGAAAAAGTCACATTTAACTCTTTTATTATAGTAAAAAACTCACATAAAGTCACATATCAACTTAAATTAAAAACTCGAATCAGCGAACTAAACGGATGTAAGAGCTCTCACATAAGAGCTCTCACAAAAAATCACGTCTAACTTTTTTACTACAGTTAAAAACTCTTACATCACATCTCAGTTTAAATTAAAAACTCAAATCCACAAATTTAGCGATACTAAAATGACCCAATTTGCTAGTATAACTTATGTACGAGACACTTTGGCATTGGCACTAATGATCCTTTCTTCACAGGAAAAGAAGTATAACTATGGAACAACTTGGTTCTCTCTGTTCATTCTTTTACTTTCAGTACATGGATTATTTTCTCATAAACCTTTCACAACTTCAATGAAAGTAGGATTCCATTTAAATAACCGCATTTTATTTTTTCTGCTCATCTTTTTTTTTATCTGTTTAATTTGTAAAGTCATACTGTACTGTATAATCAATTTTATGGTTCCGTGCCATACATTTTAAGCATAAAAGTAAGAAAAAAGTTATATGTTCAATTAACTATTACTTCAATTTCCAACGTTTTGTACCCTCATTAGAAAACTAACATCACCTGACATTGAAAGTTAAGAGTGGCTTTGGAAACAATACGTTTGGTTGGAGAATTTAAATTATGTTATTTAAATTATTTTTTATTTACGTGAATTTTTTATGAGATAAAATACTGTAGCGAACCATAAATCATGATTCGAATCAGGGAATGAATCAAGTAAAAAAAAAAAAAAAACCTTTTCAGTTGGTATCTTGACACCTTAATAAACTAACGGCATATTTATTTATCCGTAATCGGAGTTGATAGAAATCAGAGTCATAAATTATAGTCAGAATAAATTGTTTATTTAAGTTGTAGGAATCGGAGTTAGAATCAATCACAATTTCATTTATGCGTTTACTTACGCCTAGAATTAAAATAAACTGTTATAAATTTATTTATTTATCATTTTAATAGATTTTTGTGTGTTGAACTTTTAAAAAAAGAAATTGTATATTATGCTAATTATCTTAATATTAGGATAACTAATTAGTAATTAAAATTTTTAATCACATATAATTAATCATCTAAATTATTTTTTCTCAATAAATTTTAAAATAATTTTAAAAAATATAATGATAAAATAAAATAAGAACAAAATAACTAGGTTTAAAGTCATAAATTTTAAAAAAGAAGTTCCAACCAAGTCATAATATTTCCCAAGCATAATTCAAAGTACCAACATAATTTAAGTAAACTAGTAATTGGTTAATCTAACACTTAAATCTCACGATTAAGAATTTTAATTAAGGTTTTAATTAGTAGATCTTTTTTATTTAATCTTAAAATTCTGTGAGTCTCTTAACAATAACATGGGGACTCCTAAAATGGCACGTGGATAAGCTTATAAATAGTAAAACGCTGCGCACTATTGGGATCTAAGTTACAATGGCTGCATGCTCTGTATAGTCACCCTTTCAAAAAAATTGAAGAAACACATGCACATGCCATGCTAGCTTTATCGAAGAAAAATATTTATTACAAAAAAAAAAACGATAATTTTCGAAGAAAATTCAACAATGTGCAGTTGTGCTTAAATGGCCTGAACGAGAGTGGCACCATTTTTGCTGAAATCGAACGATGCCGCTTTACGTGTCTCGCTTGAAACTTGATGACGAGGAAACACCCAACGCGGATAATAACTCGCACGTGTTTTTTAGTCGGTGCTCTCTCACCAGCCGTTTGACTTGCCACATTTTTTTGAGCAAAAACGCTTAAATTCAACGAGGAAGAGACTGGAAAACTGGGGGTGATTTTGTTATACCAAAACTGAAAAAAAAAAAAAAAAAAAAAAAAAACAGATCACAGGCCCAAGAGGGTCTTTTCTTTTTGAAAAGAAAAAAAAAAAAAAAAACAGATCACAGGCCCAAGAGGGTCTTTTCTTTTTAAAATTTTATGAGATATTTGTTTTAAGGATTCGTCTCTGATTCTAAATTATAATTATAAGTTTTTTACAGTATTTTTCTCTCATAAAAAATTTAAATTTTAAAAATTAAAATTAGATTCTAAACCCATGAATCAAACGACCCATAATATTTTCATGCTATAAAAGCACAACATTTTGGAACTTGTAGGATTCCAAGCCTACTATTTTGGTTCTGGAATAAATGGTGATTGATGGAATACACGCAAAGCAAGTTTTTCGTTATTTCATTAGGTATAATAAACATGTTTCGTTATCCTTTTTTTTTTTTTTTTTTTTTTTAAGGAATTTTTTTTTTTTTTTTTTTTTTTTTTCTTTTTTTTTTTTTTTTTTTTTTAAGGAATTTCGTTATCTTTTCTCGTCTTTTTCCTTGTCTTTTTTTTTTTTTTAAAATTGAATATGTATAGCAACCGACATCTTTTAATGCTTGTTTAACGGAGTCATTTGCTTTAATCATTGTGAATTCTCGTTCTTCTTTGGTATCCAAACAATAATTAAAGTTCCTCCTTACTTTATATGACGCTTTAAATTGTATTTTTGTGAGTGGAATATCTTCAAACCACAGATTAACGAATTTTTTCCCCTAAATCAACGCACATCGCATTTTATTGATGAAGATAGGTTTAGATATATACATATGAGAAGTTTTTTTTTTTTTTTTTTTTTACCAAGTCACGACTGTTCATAATATCTCATTGATTTTGTTGGATTCAATACTCCAAATATATGACTCACACAAAGTTTCTATAAGGACCCGTTTGAGATAATTTATACTTGCGTTTTTAAGTAATATGAGAAAATAAATATAAGTTGAGGGATTTCTTATTAGTGTTTAGATAGTGCTTGAAAAAGTACTTTCATATATAAAAAGAGCTTTTGAATCTGTTTAAATAAAAAAATCAAAAACACGTATTGTTACAAAAAGTAATGTAATAAAAAAGATATTAATGAAATATTTATTTGTTGTTTATAAATAAAAGGTTAAAAGTGTAAATGAAAAAAACTTTTCATAAGTACCAAGTAAATGACTTATTCTAAAAGTACTTAAAAAAATCAAAAACACTTTAAGATTGTCCATCTAAACAGATTCAAAAGTGACTTTTAAACTAAATAAATCAAAAACATTTTTTTTATGCCAATCCAAATGGGACCTAAATCAAGAGTTGAAAAGTAACACCAATAAATATATAATAAATAAAGACTGGCTAGTTATCTTATTCCATATTACCATACCTACGCCAACCACCCTTCTTCCATGCTAAGTTATTCCTTGCATCATAATAGACCTCTTAGATTCACCATAGTCAGCATATTGAGCAGCGAAGCAATTGGTTTATGGAATGCATATTTATTTGTAAGATTTTGAGTAATTTCTTTAGCTTAATTTAGCATAAAAAGTTTAGCATTCACCAACATATGCCAAGATACAAAACACACTCATGATTTGTGAGTCATGCCTTGGCAAGTGGAATTGTTATTCGGACAATAATCGAGTCATTCCAAGGCATCAGGCATAAATAATCATCATTATCAACTGCAACCAGAAATCTCAAAGCAATGTTTTAGCTTGATTTAGCATAAAAAGTTTAGCATTCACCAACATATGCCAAGATACAAAACACACTCATGATTTGTGAGTCATGCCTTGGCAAGTGGAATTGTTATTCGGACAATAATCGAGTCATTCCAAGGCATCAGGCATAAATAATCATCATTATCAACTGCAACCAGAAATCTCAAAGCAATGTTTTAGCTTGATTTAGCATAAAAAGTTTAGCATTCACCAACATATGCCAAGATACAAAACACACTCATGATTTGTGAGTCATGCCTTGGCAAGTGGAATTGTTATTCGGACAATAATCGAGTCATTCCAAGGCATCAGGCATAAATAATCATCATTATCAACTGCAACCAGAAATCTCAAAGCAACGTTCCAAATAAGTTTTTTTTTTTTTTTTTAAAAAAATTATATTTTCTCTTTTGGGGTTTAAGGAATTCCCGTCTGCAATTTTAACACATACGACATGACTGAAGTTAATTTTACTACTGCTTCTTCAGGAGCAATGGTCCCACATTATCGCCTGTAGCTTTGTTGTGCTTTACATGACTGCCATCACACAAAGGGAAAGTTCCCGACCTCCAACACCTAAACATAAAAAAAAACCCCAAAATAATTCATGCTTTGCAAACCAAAAACAAAAAACATATGACATATATATATATATATATATAGATATACACACACACACATATATATATATATATATTATATATCTGCTTTCGCCGGGCATCAAGGTCTAACACTTTGCAATGGAAGGTAAGCTGTTTGGTTACTTACTTTTGCTTAGTACTTAATTATAATATATATCCAAGTTTATTTTCTTCTTTTCTAGATAAACAAAATCTCATGCACATTAATGTTGGGGCCGCCTTATTCTGCATTGAGAAGTTATATTCAAGGAAATGTGACTAGGTTGTAAAATATAAAAGTATTGTTCTACCTGTCTAGCTCGATTCCCGTTAGTGTATTAATCCATCTCAGTCATTATAAAATATGAATAAAAAAATAACAACTCGCGTGCTTATACCATAAAATGGTATCTATATATAACACTAATTAAGTTTCTAATTTTATCCATGACATTTTCTACCAAAAAAAGTTTCTAATTTTATCCATTTTTCTATGCGAATTAGGGGTGTAAATCGGCCGGGTAGGGTAGAGTTGAGCCGAAAAATTGAGCCTACCCGACTAGTGCGGGTTGAAAAAATTTTAGGCCGTGACACTCTCTTAAGTCTACAAACCCACAACCTTTCGGGTGACCTCGGGTAGGGTCGGGTTACTCAGGTTGTTGAAAACCAATTTTAATCTATAACTTCATCAATTTTAATCTAAGAGGCTCTTATATGCAAATAAATGATAAAATACTATTGTAGTAAATGAGCAATAAATGATATATGTAAATACTATTGTCGTAAATAATTACGCAATAAAATTGCGGCATAATAAATATAAAGGCTAATAACTCATAGTTAGGGGTGTAATTCGGCCGGGTTGGCTCGGGTTGGGCTGAAAAATTTGGCCGAGCCGCACTGTGTGGGTTGAAAAAACTTTAGGCCACAATACCCTCATAAGCCTACAAACCCGTAACCTGTCGGGTGACCTCGGGTTACTCGAGTTACTCAGGTGAAAGACTTGGTGGACTCTAATGGGCAGCGGTGATATTGGATTTGTATGGCTAGTACTTGAAAAACTTTATTATTGAGCCATCTTTTGGCCGAAAATACTTTGCATCTTATGCATAAAGTAAGAGTGATCTCAAGGACCACATGATCACTTTTTAATCAATTAATCTGTGCTTGTTACAGAAGAAATCATTATCAAACAGAACATGTCTTTCCTTTAAGAGGGGGTATAAATGCAAAGTGAACAATTAAAACACTCACTTTGAAATTAAACACTTTCAATATAAATAAAGAATGTCTTAATTCAACAACTATGGCATATAAGCATTTTTTACACAAACAGTGAATCCAAAACATAAATAAGTTAACAGTTTAAAGCATAAAGTTCATAAATTTATGAAAGTAAGAATTTAAAGTGTTAGACATTATTTTACCTACTTTGAACATGTTCGGCCGGGTAGGGTTATCTTAGGTTCATGTAACCCTACCCCGTGCCCTTACCTGCGCAGTGCGGGTTAAGCATAATTAAAATCAAAAATTAAATAAAAAATTAGAAACCCGTGATTTTCGAATAGGGTCAGTTCGGTTCAGTCGGATTTGTCGAGTTCGGGGTGATTTCTTACCGCCTTAATGCGAATAAATGTTTTTTTTCTTCATCCAATCAGTCAATAGAAAAATTGTACTCTATGATTAAAATTATTAACTTGTTTACCACTTTAGACAGCGTGCAGTAATCCTAAGACAAAACAAGGAAACAACAAAGATATTCAGATAAAGAAAACGAAACTCTTTGGGTTTACAAATTCAGATTAATTTAGAATTATTTTTAATTTATGTGTGTTTTTTTTTTTAAAAATATCGTAATAAATCACGAATTATGATACGAATTTACTGACTAAACACACGCTAAGACTAACCAAGGGGCCTTTAATAACCTGCAATAAGGAGTAAGGGGCTTAGAGAGCTCAGTAACGACAACGGAGTCCACCACTTTTTCTTCGCTCTTCCTGATCTCTGGATTTATGGCTTGTCCCTCTGCTCGCACCACCACAAGCCTTCGTGATGATCTACTCTTGAAATTAGTTGTTGGCTTGTGGCTAATGCTTCTCTGCTTCAAACCATCCATGCATGGTAATCTGCTGTACGACACTAATCCAACGCCTGAAGTGCTAACAAACGACGCCATTGGAATTTGGAACGAGTCTCGGTCTCTCTTAATCGCTATGAATTGTTCTCTTTGCTAGTGATGGTGTGAGAAGCTGCTTGAACGATCGGTGAAGTGTGTAAAAGAGGATAAAAGAAGTGGTTGGTGTGCTGCACTTGTGGACGCCACACACCAGTGATGGCTAGACCAATTTTGTGGAGCCTGCACATGCCACGTCGACGTCCTGTAGCACAAAACATTTTGCATCAGGAGTTTTTTTTTTTTTAATAAAAAAAATATTTTTCTATATTTTAATTAGGAAATAGGTATATATTTAAAATTTACGAAAGTAAATGACTAATTTACCGATGCATATAAACTAATACACCATTTTATGTTTTCAATTTTACCCTTTTCTTATTTTTGTTTCTTCCTTTTCTTTAGTAATTCTAGGTATATCCAATATTTACAAAGTTATAATCACTTTAAAAAAACCGTGCAAATTCTAAAGACAAATCCTGGTCTCGTTCGTTTCGATTATTCGAGTTTAGAATTTGAGTTGAGATGTAATTTTATGTGAGAGCTTTTTACTGTAGCAAAAAAGTTAGATGTGACTGTTTGTGAGAGCTTTTTACTGTAACAAAACTCGAATTTTAAACTCGAATCAGCGAAGCGAACAAGGCCTGAATATACTTGGTACATCTAAAATTTACTAAGTTAGCATCAGGTTTTAATAACAGTACAAATTTTAATGGTAAATTCTGGATTTACTCGGTAAATCCAGATAATTTCAAAATTTATTAAGTTAGAAACACTTGAAAAATAACAGTATTCTAACGGTAAATCTTGGATATACTAGGTAAATTCAGAATTCACTAAGTTAACATCACTTTTTTAAGAACCGTACAAACTCTAATGGTAAATGAATTTACCATATAAATCTATGATTCATCAAGATTTACTAAGTTAGAATCACTTGAAAAAAATAGTATTCTAATGGTAAATCCTGAATTTATAAGTAAATTCGTGATTTATTAAGTTAACGTCACTTTTTTAAGAATCGTACAAACTGTATTGGTAAATCCTAAATATACATTGTAAATTTAAGATTTACCAAGTTAGAATCACTTGAAAAAAATAATAATATAAATTCTAATGGTAAATCCTCGATGTACTTGGTATATTCAGGATTAACCAAGTTAGCGTCACTTTTTTAAGAATCGTACAAATTTTAATGGTAAATAATGGATATACACAATAAATTCAGAATTTACCAAGTTAAAATCACTTAAAAAAAGAATAATATAAATTTTAATGGTAAATCTTGGATATACTTAGTAAGTTAGCATCATTTTTTTAAGAATCATACAAACTCTCATGGTAAATCCTAGATATACACAGTAAATTTAAGATTTATTAAGTTAGAATTACTTAAAAAAATAACAGTATAAATTATAATGATAAATCTTAAATATACCCCGTTCACTTTACCGATTCGAGTTTACAATTTGAGTTTTGCTACAGTAAAAAGTTCTCAAAAACAGCCACATATAACTTTTTTGCTACAGTAAAAAGCTCTCACATAAAATCACATTTCAACTCAAATTACAAACTCAAATCAGCGAACTAAACGAATTAATTCAAGATTTTTCAAATTAGCATAACTTTCTAAAGAATCGCACTTAATCCAGGATTTAGTAAGAATTTATTTTTGAAATTTTAGCTAGTTGTAAATCTTGATTTACATTAAATTGGTTTATTTATTAACTTTCCTTAATTATTAGCCTATTAATTTTAATTCGTTTTAAATCTTGACTTATTTCCCTCAATCTCTATTAACATTTACTCTTCTGTTATTATGTGTTAAATTTTTAAGGGAATCTATAAAAATTAAGAATTAAAATTTAAAATATTTTAATTGTAAACATAAAAAATTAAAATATTTTGAGGTCAAGAATGTTGGAGAATAAAATCTTGTAGTGATAGGGGCGCGTGTCAAATACACCACCATGATCGGAGTGTGCTTTTCACGTGTTTGTTGGCTACTGGATTCCATGCTCAATTTCGTTGTACCTAGCAATGGAATTTCAAAATGCAACGTGACCAATCGCACCAAAATAATATTAGTTTAACGCTAATCACCATCTGATGTGACATACAAACAAACAAAATCAATTAATTTGAATTAGTTTAACTTCATGTGAGCCTCAATTTAATTTTTAGTCGAGTATTATTAGCTTAATTGTGATTAACATAGCCGACGGGACGGTCACCAATGATTGAATCAAGTAAATCAAGTAGAAACCGAAACCATTAAGGAGAACAAACGCTTACTTTTTTATATTAACATATTAAAAATTTATTTTATTTTTATCTTTTTGCAGTTTAAATATTAAAAAAAACATTATGAATATTAAAAATTTATATTACTAACACATTCTTGAAATTATTCATAACGTTTAAAAATATTTTAAAAATTATGAAACATTATGAATATTAAAAAAATATATTAAAAATATTCTTACTTTAAAAACAAAAAAACATTATGAATATTAAAAAAAAACCATTAAGAAGAACAAACGCTTACTTACTAACATATTAAAAATTTATATTAAAAAAAACAAACGCTTACTTTTTTTTTAGAGAAAACATTAAGGAGAACATTAGTTAATATGGGTAAGATTTTCTCTTCCTTCCAAACAATTTGAGCCTAGGTTTCCTATATTTATTCAAATGATTAAGAGAAAACATCAAAACGACATTCTTTTTTTTTTAATGTCAAATACAGAGACGGGCACCAAATAATTAAGGAGAACATAAACTTCTTGTCTTTAAAAAAAAAAATTTCAAAAGAAAAGAAAAAACCAAAAAGGGGGGTCCGCAATTGCAAATGAAAGCAAATCATCCTTCTGTATGCTCTCTTTTTGCAAAAGTTGTTTCAAAATTTTTTTTTTTCTGGAAAAAGGGTGTTTAAAATTATCAAATCAACGACTGGTTTAACATTAGATTATTAGGTGGTTTCAACTTGATTTACTCGATTTAATTATTGATGACTGTCCCGTCGGCTATGTTAATCACAATTAAGCTAATAATACTCGACTAAAAATTAAATTGAGGCTCACATGAAGTTAAACTGATTCAAATTAATTGATTTTGTTTGTTTGTACGTCACATCAGATGGTGATTAGTGTTAAACTAATATTATTTTGGTGCGATTGGTCACGTTGCATTTCCAAACAATGACACACACAATTATCCTAAAATTATTTTATTTTTTTTTGATCTTTTTGCAGTTTAAATATCCCATCTATCGGGGAAAAAAAATTATACCAAACAAAGATAGAATCTATATATAAGAGAAGTGTGAATCCCCTTTTCTATAGTTTTTTTTTGGTTGAAAACGCTACAGTATCTCTGCAATGTTTTTTTTTTTTTTGCCCCCTAAAGTTTTTCCTTTTCATAGTCATTTTCTTTCCTTTTTTATGGTTACTTACCTTAAAATTTAATTTTTAAAATTTTTAAGTCAGTTTACTTTACAAATTTAAATTTTTAATTTAAATTAAAATGTGATATTTTTTAAAAATTTTTAATTGTAATAAAAAAATTAATTGTAAAATGAACGAAATTTTAATTTTTATATATTTTAAAAAATAATTTTTTTGAAAATTTTGTCCTGTTGTTGTTCAGCCGGAAAAATTGAAAACGTTTTGTCTAGAATGACATCCACAATCATTATCAGGTCCCCCGCGAGGCAATTAAACTACCCCCAAAACGACCCGTGACTCTTGAGACCTTTGCACTTTTATTTGAAAAAGCTTTGAATTTAAGACACCCAATTCTTCCGCAACCTCAGATTTACCTCCTTCTCAATCGCATTACACTTTTTTTTTTCTCTCATTCGAAATTCTTCACCCTAAATCAATTTATCTCACATTTTGGAATTTGATCTCCCAAGATTACACGGAAAGACAAGATTTTTCTCATCGTTAATGGCGAAGAAAGCAGGAGCTTTCGGATTCTGGTTCTGCCTTTTCACGATTCTGATTTACGCGCGGATCTCGATCTCCGGGAGGTCGGATAAGGAGACCAGAGAGAGGTTTTACGGCAACCTGTTCAACTCCTCCGCGCCGGAGTCTAACGACGGTTCCATAGCCAAAATGTTCGATCGAGTGCTGGAGAAGGAGTTCTCTGAGAATGATCAGCCGGAAGGTTTGCGATTTTCTTTTCTTTTGAAGCTGCGTTTGAATCTTTGTAGGTTTTGTTTGGTTACCAAGAAAGTCCGGGAAAAGGAAATGAAATTCTGGATGAATTATCGACTCTTGTATTTCGGATTAGGGCAATTTGGTGGACTCTGTTAGGATGAAATGCTAGTCTATTTTCTACATTTTCTCTCGACAACAACAATGCGTGCTAGGATCACACATGCACCTGAAACAACAAAAAGGAGAAAAAAAAAATTTCTTGATTTTTGTTTCGATGGAAAGCGTAATGATTGATTTTGATTTGGCTGGATAGTTTTGGCTGCCAATCTACTTTGAATTCATTCTCACTAAATTTCCCGGCATACTTCTGAATTGTTGTTTCACGTCGATTTAGGGCCACAATTTTCTTGATTAAAAGTAATCACATTTTTTTTCCGTCTTATTTGACAGGACCTGATGAAAGCAGCTTTAACAGCAGTGTAGCTGATCAGCAGGTAAGTCTTTCCTTCCCTACCAGAACTATCGAACCAAAGCATGCTGCATACTTTAGCTCATAATTGTAGTATTGACTACTATGATTGCTCGTTAATTTAGAGCAATAGATATCGTGATTGTTTTTGCATTTCTTCATGAGGCCAAAAAAGCTACCATCTGATATTTGTAGTAAATGGATCTTTTTCGTGAGGAAATTATTGGTTCATCTGGAAGGAATTTTTGAGTATTGTTTATGGGAAAAGCATAAAGTTTCTGGGGGCAGTTTTGGGATCTTCATGTACCTAATATTATTGATTGAATTGGAATGAACTATAAGTTAAGGGGTTTTTTTTTTTTTTTTTTTTTTTGGGTGCTTTTACTAGTACCTGCTTATACTATAGGGGGAAAAAAATCATGTTATATTTGTCAAAGATGTTTTCTCATTATGTTTTACAGGCTGTTCTGGAGACTGTAGCAAAAATCACTCATGACAAGAGCAAGAAAAACGATACACAAGAGGCCAAGTATGGGAATGTAAAACGTACTTATGATACTATTATTTCTGTGTATGATGAATTATTTAAACTGAAATCACATTCTATTTTACGTTACGATTTCCAAAGTAGTAGTTTGATTTGCATAAACTTTATTGATCAGTGGCACAAGATCTTTCCAGCTTCAAGATGTTTTTTCTCTGGAGAATGAAGATTCTGATGACATGACAACCTTAATTGATAAAAAGGTGCTTAACATTAAGTTTTTATGGGTACAAGAAAGTTAAGGAGATAACTTTGAGGTACTAATTTCCTTGTGTTGTTTTTGTCCCGGCTGACGTAACTTTTTTAATAATAGGACAACGTGTTTGTGATGTCAAACAAAAAATCCAAGTTTCCAGTGCTTCAAGTAGATTTGAGGTATCTTTCCTATATCTTTGCCTGACTGCAGTTTCATTATGAATCTATGGAATTTTCTTATTCATAGTATGAGAATTGAGAGTTAATATCAAAGCAATTTAGATGGATGGAGTGTGCGTGTGTGTGCTAAAATCTACTTATAGGGCGTTTACATCTCAGTCATTTTAAGCATTACTTAGTTTTCATCAGACACAGCACAGCTTCGTGTTCATTAGATGTACTTCTTGGTATTGATGTTTACTGTTTGTTTACATTCTTGCAGATTAATTTCAGACTTGGTGGTTGTTATAGTTTCTGCTGCCATTGGTGGCATTCTATTTTCTTGTTTGGGACAACCGGTTTGTTTCTCAGTTCTTATCTACTCTTTTGCTTGCACTAAAAGATTTTTGCTTGCTTTAGCTATATGTTCATCCAGTAAAAGATATTACTTTATTTAGCTCAACTTTTCTTGCTTGGATATTTGTGATAGGTTATTGTGGGTTATCTTCTTGCTGGTTCACTAATTGGACCAGGGGGTCTAAAATTCATCAGCGAAATGGTACAGGTATGTTGTTATAGCGTCACAGGCAATAATTAGATTAGACAGCTAAATAAATAGAATTAGGTACTCTGTTTTCTTGTGGGAAATCCAGGTGTTGGGAGTGTTTAACTTTACCATGTCATCTGTCTCCACTAATCTGATGCATCTTATTTTTCCTCTTGCAGGTTGAAACTGTTGCACAGTTCGGAGTTGTCTTTCTTCTTTTTGCTTTAGGGCTTGAGTTTTCTTTGACAAAGGTTTGTTATCTTTGGCTTGAAAATCCTTGCTTATGAATTATTATAAATCAATTTGGCTCAAAGTTATGGCTAAGACCACTTGGTCTAGTGGCACCGGTTTGGGTGGGATGGGGTTTGGGGGGAGGTTGCGGATTTGATCCCGTGTTGTATTAAAAAAAAAAGAAGTTCAAAGTTATGTAGTTTCATGTTCAAGAAAACAAAAACAAAAATGTCCATCTAAAGAAGCTTGTCAATGCAGTTAAAAGCTGTAGGGCCTGTAGCTGTTCTTGGAGGGCTTCTGCAAATCGTGACATTCATGTTTTTGTGTGGAATAACTGCTATGGTAATTCTAAATTTTAGTATTCCTTCAAGTCATTCTATTCTATTGAGAAGTAATTCTGTTAAAAGTTTTTCCCTTCTACGTTTCAGTTATGTGGTGCAAAGTTGTCTGAGGGTGTTTTTGTTGGTTCCTTCTTGTCAATGTCATCAACTGCAGTGGTGTGTTTTTACATCATTTTCTGATACTGCAATTTCTCTGTTCTACCCGTCTGCAAAATTTGTTTACGCAACTATTTATTGTTTTCATCTTCTTTTGGCAGGTGGTAAAGTTTTTGGTAGAACGGAATACTAACAATTCTCTTCATGGTCAAGTTACAATAGGGACACTTATTTTACAGGTATCTGTTACTTCAACATCTTTGATCGTAAAATATCAAGTTGAAAGGTCTTGATTTTATGGTTCATTTGCATTTGTCATTCACTGCGGAGTATTTCAGGATTGTGCTGTTGGTTTATTGTTTGCTTTGCTCCCAGTTTTGGGTGGTAGTAGTGGCCTTTTCCAAGGGATGATTTCAATGGGAAAACTGTAAGTTTGTTTCACCTTTTACCTGTTTGTTTTTCTCCTATCATCATGTCGCATTTTTCTATCTATTCCATACCCTTTTTCTCTCTGGGGACTATTCGAGAGTCAATTACATATTTTATTTGTTTTAATTTTTTAGGAAAAAAAATTGCCTTTTTGAAGGCAACACCTCGTAGCGATGATAACTAACTACCTTTTTCATTATTGATTTCAGGATGCTAGTGTTGTCCATTTATCTCGCTGCAGCATCTCTGTTGTCCTGGTCATTTGTTCCTCGCTTTTTGAAACTGATGATGCAGTTATCTTCTCAAGTAAGTCTCATACATTTATTAGAGAGTCTGGCTATTTTGCTAGATTGATCTTTGTTTACATTTGGGATTGATTTGTTATTCTTTGTGAATCAGACAAATGAGCTTTATCAGCTTGCTGCTGTGGCTTTTTGCTTATTGTCTGCTTGGGTAAGTAAATATGTAGTTAAAATTCATGTCGAGGCTAATTTCATTTATTATGGATGCGTCCCTACTTTAAGGCAGTGCATTTTATATTTCCAAATGCTTTGATATCAGATAGTAAATCAGTATTGTTCGCTAAGTGTAGCCCGATGCTGATGGTGAACAAAGATCTTTCATGATGACATAACAGTAGAGTACTTGAATCTGCTTAGAGAAATCAGAGGATATAAGTGAATTTGTTGAATGGTTCTGTAACTTTTTTAAACTTGAAGTGGCTTCATGAGAAAATATATATTTCCTAATATTTGATCGACAAATGTGGTCATCAGTCGCTTCCTTTGCCCTTAAATAAGATGCACAATCTTAATTAAATCCCCAAAAATTAAGATAATACGTGTCTTTGCAATTCCCAACACCTTTTAACACGTGGCATCTCCTTTAACTTTTCAGTGCAGTGATAAGCTAGGTCTCAGTCTTGAGTTGGGTTCCTTTGTTGCTGGAGTAATGATATCTACTACCGACTTCGCACAACATACTTTAGATCAGGTACTCTTCTTGTTTCTGATTAATGATAATAGCCTATCACTAAAATACAACCAGATCTCTTAGTTTCAACTTGATAATTTTGTGATTGTAGAAGCTTCTGCTGCCAACTAAGAAAATTGATATTGCTACTTGTCTTAATTGGGAAATTATTTAATTTCCCATTAGTCCTTTAACTATCATTATGGAGCTTCAGCGAGCCATTTCCTACTTGGTACTTAAGTTGGGCCATAGTTGATTGTATGACGGCATGAAACGTTTCTAAAATGGGGGGATCTTGTGAGGAATTAGTTTTGATCGGTACTTTTGGTTCTCACGGTAGACTAAGTGGCAATCTTCAATGTGATTGTAACTTGCTATGTTCAACTATACTTTATACGTCTTATTCTATACAACTAAATGAATTTTTTCCCTCGAAATGCAATTGTTTTCTACATTTAGGTGGAGCCGATTCGAAACCTATTTGCAGCTCTCTTCCTCTCAAGTATTGGAATGCTCATTCATGTACATTTCCTTTGGAGCCACGTGGATATACTTCTAGCATCTGTTATCTTGGTTATAGTTGTTAAGACAGCTGTTGGCACTATAGTTTCTAAGGCCTTCAGATATAATAGTAGGACATCATTCCTTGTAAGTTGATTTTATCTTCTCATCCAGCAAACTATTTCTAATGGAAAAACTATATTTAGGGAGAAAAAAAAAAGTTATCTTATAAGTTCGTTACTATTTATAGGTTGGAATATCACTCGCTCAAATAGGAGAATTTGCCTTTGTTCTTTTAAGCCGTGCTTCAAATCTGCATCTTGTTGAGGTATCTCTCTCTCTCTCTCATAGTAAGTTGGAGACAATATGATTTATGCAGTAGGGATAAGCATATGGATGCTTTATAGTTCAAGAAAACATAATGAAAACTTTGTGTATGGTGCAAAATTCACCAGAGATTAAGACCTTTTTTAAACAAAGAAGATGCTTTATGTAGAGTTCAATTTATAACCATGGATACTGTAAATAGGTTTCGATATGTAAGTTGTCCATCTTTAATGTTCTATGTGAAATCTGGCGTGACAGGTTTTGTTTCTAAAACATGTAAGCACTAACCGTTGAAGTATGTTTTTGCCAAATGTCCAGACTATATAAGTTCAAGACCCTTCGGCCTTGAATCTCATTTTTACATTATCCAACGGTCTAACATTCGAAGTTAGACCACCACTGCTGTACTATTTCAGTATGTCTATTTAACAAGAAAGACGTGCAGGTTGTATGAATGTGTGATGTATATTATTTCAACCTTGATAATTTTGGGTTTGTTTAAATTAGGCTAGTGAGTTTCTGACGTCTTATGTGAAATCATCCTAGTTTATCTATTAACGTTGTAGCCAATTTCATTAAAAGCTCCATTAAACTATAATATATATTTTTATATATATAATAAACGAATAGATTGCAGTCAATTTGCAATTACATAAGAGCACTTGCCTCTCTTCTTTTCTAATTCCTTCCTCTGTGTTGCTTGATCAAATTTGGCTTTATAGGGGAAGATGTATCTGCTTCTTATTGGAACAACAGCTCTTAGTCTAGTAAGTTTCTTTTATGTGGAAGTGGATTGTGCTTCTTTTTTCCTTCTTTTCTTTTCTTTTTTTTTTTTTCCTGGCACTTTTATCTGCAAAATACTTGCTAGGTTTTTTTTTATTTTTATTTTTTCCTGGCACTTTTATCTGCAAAATACTTACCCTAGTAAATCACCTGATTCTCAGGTAACAACTCCTCTCTTGTTTAAAGTGATACCCGCTATTATGAACTTGGGAGCTCTCATGCACTGGTTTCCCCCTGAGAGCAGCAATCAGAATGAGGTTCTCTCTCTCTCTCTCTCTCTCTCTCTCTCTCTTTCTCTCTCTCACACACACACACACTCTCGCGCGCGCGCGGCCGCACATAATTGCACAAACAAAAGCTTAAAAAAATCCATCAATGCGTCATGTGAACCATAACCTCTTTTATTGAGGACAAAGTTAAATCTATCTAGCTGCATCCTATAGAACTTCAAATGTTTGCTAAATGCGGAGTACTGCAATTTTTCCCACTGGATCTGGGAAGCATCCATAGTCTGGTTTGTCTGTGCATGATCAGGAATGCCCAAAATTTATTTATAATGCAAATCTTTATAGCTACAGATAGGAAAGAGAATGACCAATCTAGTTGCATTATTCCACAGAATCATTTGGAAAATCAATGATACCCAAAATCTTAAGCTGGAAGCCTACTATCAGAAACATAATCCACACAACTTAAACATCGTATTCCTCTAATTATCAGTACAATGATTTTGTGAACTGTTTGTGGTACGCGGAGTTGGAACTTTTACATTTTTTTTGTACTTTTTTTTTAAACAGGAGAAGGCTTCCATGATTGAATCGTTTAACAGAATGTTGTGACCATCCCTGTTTTTGTGGTCCTGGGGTCGATCCGGGTCGACTGCTCTAGTGGCAACAATTTTGCGAATACAAGGGGTTCAAAGAAAATTAATTGGCAATTAGGTAGTTGAGGTTGCAGACGATAATCAGGATTACTCGATTGTTTTGTCAAACTTAGCTTGGAGTTCTCCTGTACATAAAATATTTACCATTATTTTACACTAATTAGTATTGTATATAGGAATTCTTAAGTGCCCGTTGCACGCATATCCATGGTGGGCATGTTGTAACCTAAATACATCCATATTCATAGTGGCAGCTACCCCAGGCACTACATCTTTGTCCTCTCTTTCTCTCTTTTGGAACTAGGGTTTGGGGAATTTGAAGGACACTATAAATTCATATGATTTAAATTTTTTTTTTTTAAAAAGATGCATTTTTTCAGAATCAGATTTGTTGTTCATGCTTTTAGTTTAGAAATATTAATGAAAATTTTCTAGACGTCTACGCATAAATTTGCTCCTAGTTAATTGCAATGTTAACCTTCACTCGGTCCGTTTTACTCATATCGAATAAAAGAGAAGAAAACTATGTCCGGTAGTTTCTTCTTACATGAGCTGATGCTGGTTAGGAGGTTAGTGATAGGTGGTAAATGGTAATGGATTATAGGTGCTTGAGTGCTAGGGGTGAGAGCAGGGAGAGAATTTTTGGGACATGATTGTTTGGGAGAAGATTGAAAAAGAAAAAAGAAAAAAAAGAGAGGAAATATATTATGTCATGAATTTCAAATCCTTTAAAGTGCCATAATTTAATCTCTTCGATACGAAAAGATTAAGGTGTTGTTTGGTTAGGGAATTCGTATCTCGATTCGAATCATGGTTCGTGATTCGTTACAGTATTTTTTTTCATAAAAAATACACGTAAATTAAAAATGATTTTAATCTCATGATTCTAATCCATGAACCAAACGTCTCCTAAATAAAAAATTCATGATAACCAAAGAATGATCCTCTCCTCTTACTCAATTTTCATCACCTAGGTTATATCTTTCTTTCCTTTCTATTTTCTTTCCCTCCTATCTAACCTAACTTAAATCGTTAGCAGTCTTTAATCTAACGCCATGTTGATTAAGATTGAAAGGAATATAGGAGTTTTGTAAATTTGTAAGTTATTTTTCTTTTCACTTTTTTTTTTTGGGTGCTAGAATGTAAACGGAAGTTGTTTTTTATTTTCCTTTTGAAAAAGAACATAAATATCAAAGTTTTTTTTTTTAATTTCTTTTTGAAAAGAACGTTAATATCAAAGTTTTGTTTTTTAGTTTCCTTTTGAAAAGAGCGTAAATATCAAAGTTTTGTTTTTTAGTTTCCTTTTGAAAAGAACGTAAATATTAAAGTTCGTTGCGCCAAATCATTATTAGCTCGAACCAAAAGGAAAAAATTTTAACTAACATTCCTTTTAATATTTATTTTTCAAAGTATATTTAGAATTTATTTTAGGGATTTTTTTTTCAACAGACCTATAGAATTAATTTATAATTTTTTATATGATTAAAATTATATTAAATTAAGAAAATATATACAATAAAAAATTTTTGATATAAATCTGACTGTTAAAAAATAAAAATTATAAATAGTTTGGGCCTGTTTGGTAGCATTTTCATTTTCGTTTCTCACATTTTTCGATGCAAAAAATTGAAAACGGAGATAAAAAACGTGTTTGGCAAAATTTGTGTCAGAAAACAAAAACGAAAATGGCTTTGTCGTTTTCTGGAATTTTGAAAACGGAAAAAAGCCGTTTTCGTTTTCTTGTTTTCATTTTCGGTTTCTTCTTCTTCTTTCTTCCTCGATCAACCTCCCGTTTCTGCTTCTTTCGATTTTTTCTTCCCCTTCAGCCGAGCTCTTCTTCCTCCTTCCCTTCCGTTCTTCAGCCGAGATCTTCTTCCCGGCCGAGCCCCGGCGTTCTTCTCGCCCAAGAGTCGCGTCGTTTGCTTCTCACCGGAGCACCTCCGTTCGCCTGAGCTCCTCCGGTCTCTTGTTGCCCAATCTGCGCCGTTCTCCGTTTTCTCACCGAGGTATGCCCCTAGCCAAAAATATTTGAACGTGTTTGATTTTTCCGATCGATTTGGTCGAGCAATTTGTTTTTTTATTTTTTTTTATTTTTATTTTCTGGTTGTCTCGCCGTTTGATTTGCTTATTCAACCAAATCGGTTGCTGTTTTCCGATTGATTTGGTGTTTATTTTCTACCTTATGCTTGATCTGATATGGTTTTTTTTCTGTTTTTTTTTTCTTTTTCCCCTGGAGGGCCCCGTTTGGGC